GGGATTCTCCCTGTTTATGGGAATCCGCCCGTTCTGTGGGAATGCTCCCTGCCTGTGGAGATGCTCCCTGCCTATGGAGATGCTCCCTCCCTGTGGGGATGCGCCCTGTTTATGGCAATAGTCCCTGCCTGTGGGGATGCTCCCTGTTTATGGGGATGCTCCCTACCTGTGGGGATGTTTTGGGGAGCTCACATGAGGTTTCCAACTCATGAAGATTTTTTAGGGAGACAGAAAAAAGCCAAGCCCAGGGCCACATCCCGACTCCCCACTGCGAAATGTTCAAACATGCTGTTACCCCAGGATTTTAACGAGGACGCGTTTGCCCCCTGAAAGGGCTGAAATGCAGAGAAAGCAGTGTGGAAAAAAATCTCATCCCAAACAGATAACGCACAGCAAATCCGTGAGCAGATGAACGCAGGGGCTTGCAACACGAAATGTTGGGAACCGCTAATAAAAAGCAGAGCTACCAGCCCCACCTATAATATAATTTAAACCTCTATATGTAATGTTTAACCTAGCAGGATCGCTTTTCCTAATAAACATGCAGCGTGCCAGGACTGTATAATGTAAACACAGGCTTTTTTTCAGGCTATTCCCCATCTCCAGCAGCAGATGGGGGAGAAACTCAATCCTCCCTGTCCCGGGCAGCATCTCCTTGGGATGGAGGAGAGGTTTTAGGGCTCCACCTGGAGATGCTCAGAGGTTGGGAGGGGTGAGATGTGCACCCATGGGAGGCAATGGGAAATGTGGGCTTTGCAGGATGGGAGCTCCATGGAGGAAAACCGCGCTCCGTGTGTGTGAACAACCCTAATGCGACTGCATTAGGAGAGCGATTAGGGCTCTGCGAGCTGTCACCACACAAATAATGGGAACAAATAATGTTAACCTTTCTGGCTGAAGCAGTTTCTCCTTGAGTACCCCGGGCTTGCCTCGGTGGGAAAGCTGAAATATTTGCAGTTTTCTCCAGCGTTTCAGCAGGGTAAGGCAGCAGACTAGATGCCGAGCGGCCTTTGTTTAAGGAGAAGAATTAATGAGCTATTAAATGAAGTCCTGCTTCCTGCAATCAGATGTCCCTGGGTGTCGGGAGCGGCAGATCCAGGTGTATGTGGGATGCGGGATCCCACTGATGGGAAGAAGGGATCTGACGGGGAGGTTTTGGGAGTCCCCACCCTGGAAAATGCATTTTCTCTCCTTCTCCAGGTAAACTTGCTCTGAAATAATGCAAAGGAATGATTCATCCAGGAATCCCATTTGGGATCCTCTGCACCCTCATTCCCAGGGGACCCCAAGGGGTCTGGGTTTGCATATCCATGGTGAAAGCATCGCTCGCTGCCGTGGGGGTGCATCCGATGATTTTGGGATGTGTGAGATCTCCCCGAGATCGAAACATGCAACGCAAGTGGTGGCGCTCAGGAAATCCTGGCAGAAATCTCCTTCTACATCTCAATCATCCCACTCTGCTTAGATACCTGTTGCCCTGATGGACAGCTCTCGCATTGGAGTAACACTGAAAATGGCTAAAAAAAACCCCAAATAAAACCAAACAGCTGCGTGCTCCTCAAAATACTTCCAGATACATTTAAAAACAAAGCAATGTTTTGAAATTTCCACCTTGCTCAAGGTCTTAAAGAAGAAAAGACCCCTCTAGCTCTGTGACCCAAACGAGCGGCTTCGTTTACACGAACAACGATGGGAGACGGCGCCGTTGGGTTAGTCCCGATTTTCTTAGTGACTATTTTCCTGGGTTCAAGTCCTCCTGCCCCTGTGCTTTGCCTTCAGAAGCTGTTGAGCACATGGGGGGATGTAGAAGCTGTGGTTGATGTGCCCCAGTAAACCGTATCGGCTCCAGTATTCCCATTACTGGAAGGTGTCGGCGATGGGTCAAGCCCAACTATTTCCTCATCGGCAATTAGCACCCGTATGGTGCAATTAGCACCAGGAAGGCGATGGGGACGGGGGGATGAGGTTGGCCATGGTGGTCCCTCCAACCCGGGATGCAGCCACACTCCCCGGGTTGAACCCATCCCACCCGGCCCAGCGCTAACCTGGGGGTGCAGCACCAGCAGGAGCCAGACCCAAATTCCCGCAGGCAGGAATTAGCACCAGGCAGCGGCTTTTCCACCTGCAAACACCCACTGAGCCCAACTACATCGCACACAGGCTGGAGGGGGTCCAGAAGTGGTGGGG